AAAGACATGTTGATTGGATAGAATGCCCGATGCCATAACTCGACAACGAAAGGCCTTGCGCCTTGTTTCCTTGGTTTCTCTTCTGGCTACATTTTGGAGTTAAGTCGCCTGACGATGCGAGAGTTTACCTCATGATTTTGAATAAGTGTATATTATCTCTCTTTTCTTTCATCTTTCCTCTCTCTCTCTCCATGAATGCATGAGTGAATGTATGATAATGTGTGCTATAATGTATTGATAAGTGCAAGTAAGATGCGGTTAGAGTCTCGACTAATCCTTGTGTTGTCAAAATTTTGTGGGACGATAATCGTTGAAGCGCAAGGACCAATGCCGGTCCCTTAATTAAGATGCATGCATGTCTCTCTCTTTATGGAAGTGATGTGCTAATGATGGATGTATGCGGCTTCGCTTTATTTTCCCTTTGTTAAGGATTTTGTTGGAGGTGTTCACTGCGTTTCCCATCAATCCAACCAACTCGTTTCTCGGGACAATCTTCCTTTTGAAGGGAGGGTGTAGCAAGGAACTTTGCCGTGTTCCTATCGATCAACTCTCTAAACCTTTTATCTCATATTAGATGAACGTTTTGATCCCTCAGATGAGCATCCCTTGTAGATGTCTTGTAAGTGAAGATCTTTGTTCTTCTGTCGCTCCAAAGGGAATATGGTTACCTATGCATCAACGCGTAAATTTTGTGGACAATATCCAGGGTATATTTTTGTCTTCACCCCCTTCTTTTGATGTACCCGTGATTGAATGTTCCGAAAGAACTTACGCCGGAACTCTTCCATTAGTTTTTTGGGCAACCCCCCGCCACGACAGAACATCGAGCGTGAAAGTTACGTTATGCAACCTGATTTCCGACGCGCAGGCAATCCTCATAGCTAATGATACTTTTCTGTTTGTTTTATGAGCGATAAATGAGAGTGTATCGACCTTGTGGACTGAACCATCAGAGCCATCAGGACGTCAACTTCTCGAACCTCCCCGCCCACGACCTTTCCCGTACAACGAGAATAGGACACGTGTGTGCGAGTGAGACGTACGAGAAGTTGTCGCCACGATAGGCGACCCTTATCACTTCCCTTTCGAAACACTGTGTTCAAGGTTTGTTAATGCGGGCTTTGTGATTGTTGACACCCACTTCCCCCTATTCCATTTTGCTCCCCTTCAAGGAGTTGATCGTTGTCCCCTGGTCGACGATTGCGCCCCATTGGCCTCGTACTCTGTGCAACGATTGTCGTCTCATGGAGCGCTTTCAAGCCCAAGGGTTCCACTATCGGACGCATGGCGAGGAGGAGTTCAAACAGAAAGCAGTAACACTGCGGCCCTCTGACTCAGATTTAGAGTTGTTCAACGAACAACGTCGGTCTCTTGTTTGAAACCGAGAATCAACGTGCGTTCCCCATCCCTTTCGACCCAAAAAGTGATGCTGCACTGCTCACATTGAAGTTCAAGGATATTCTTTGGATTAGGTAGTCACTAGGACTCTTTCCCTTCCCCTTCCCACTTTTTGTTCGTCGCTCCACATATGGGACGACACATGAGATTTCAGTTTTGTCAGTGTCTCCACACTCAATTTCCCAAAAATCCTTGGCAAACCCCATTTTGCCACTTTCCTGGACCCTTTTCGCGCTTGAGTCATTTTGACAAGGAAAGCAGAGCGGGGCGTGAGGTTTGAGCATCACATGCACACCTGTGCCCTCATGGTAAGTCAATATTCGAGAACAATTCGTACGAGGTCTATTCGAAGTGCCCTTCTATTCAAGAAAAGTGATCCGATGCAGTTTCAATTTGTAAATCTTCAACTCAAGGACCACGGCCTCCTCGGCCTCCTATGGGCAGCTTTCGGTCCTCCGCAATCAACAACTGCCCGTTGCCCATGAGCTGGCCCCCCAGCAAATTCACCACCCTTCCAACTACTGTTTGGACCCGCACGGACGAACGGCGATGAAATTGACTCGAGGGTCTAAGACGCACCCCTGACGGCCTGCGAACACTCACACTCACACCGGTGTTGATTGGTTTAGATACTCATTTTTGGGCAAATTCTATTTTCATACTACCGGAAAACGAAATTATGTTTTCGTGAGAATTTGCCACTCCAAGAATGATCAAACTAATACCCATTTTGTTTAGTGCTATAGGCGCAGTTTTGGCGTATTGTGTTTTCAGAGGTATCAAGCAGACTTTCCCATCTGGTTGGCACTAAGCGCTGGCGGTCATGGGGGCGGAACACACAACCGCCTGAATGCCACTTGTGTGCATTCCAACCTCAGAGTTATAGTTCCATCGGGAAGGAAATCTGGTTTGTATTTCAACAGTTGAGGGGTGCACCGACTGAGCTGGACCCGTTGGTGCCCAGCCCCACATCAAATGATGAGGGACGGGTGCAGCTGTGGTGGGAACTGTCCCTTGGGTCTGGGAGAGGTCAGAGCTGTTGGCTGTTCCGTGTGAGTTAGGGCCTCGCTGCAGTGCTCAAATCTCTACATATCTGTGGACAGCCACGCAGGCGGAGTACTTTAGCACTGACAGGACACAATGAATGGATCGCGACCTCGAGCAGATACGTTTAGAATGCTGCGCCCCAGGACCTATTGTCTTCCTTCCAACACAACGCACTCTTCAACAAGACCGTATTAGAGCGGAAAGATCGTCTGTATACATTCATGATGAGGGTACCTTTTGTTCAGGGGAAGACGGCAGTGTACAATGGGCAGAATAGTGTAGTAGATGCAGACATGCTAAAAAGGAATGGAAAAGGAGATGAAGGGACAATGGGCATCGCCGCACCACCACCTACGGAATGTGAAAAAGACAAAACCTATGGCGGACGTACCTTTCCATGTTTTTGCAGAAGATACGTTCTCCATTTTGCACATTCCGGGAATAGTGCGGCGAGGCCCAATCTATGAAAGAGATGTAGCGGTTTTGTGTGTGTGTCTGCTGTGGGCGAAGGCCCCAACCAGCGGCTGTATTGTTTTCTTTCCTTTTCTTTTTCAAACAGTGCAGTCCTTAACCGTGGTGTTGTACCGTATCGGCTTGTATCTCATTTCAGCCACATGGGTTGGGTAATCGAGCAGTTTTCGAGGGTTGCTCGTTCAGGGCCACTCGATATGAAAATCTCATGGCTCTTTTAATACCAAGCAAAGTAAAAAAAAAGAAAAAATAATAATAAAAAAAAATTCTCATGGCTCCTTTGGCCACGTCGAAAACTGCTCAAAAATTAATCGATCGAGCGGGTAGCGGGACTGCTCACGTGTCCCCGAAGTGAACGAATAGCCTCTCGGGAAAGAAAAGGGAAGCTGTCGAAGGAAAGGAAAAGGAAAAGGAAAAGAAAAAAATCAAGAGAAAAAAAAAAACCCGCAATTTCCATTGTCGGCGGCCGTGCATATCACGGAGGTCGTGGGGATCCAGGGGGCGTCGGTCCACTACACAAGACAAGACTGTGCATGCATTTGGACTCTTTCTAAGGCCGATGCATTCAAGATGTTGGACTCGTCGAAATGCACCTGGTCGAGAAAGAGTGCAGATGCGGGTAGAGTGTTGTGTAGTGGAGCGAGGCCCAGGGTCTCCGTTCGGTTCGGTAACGCCCGCGCGCGCCCGCGCACCGAACTCTCCGCGGTGGGGCCTACCAGCAGAGAGAGCACCGAGGAGGTTGGCGGGATCAGCCAGTAGGAGGAATCGTCGCGTTCGGCGGGAGCGCGCGAATGGCAAAAAGCAGGAAGATCGGCCGAATTCCCGCGCTTTGGTCACCTCGCAAAGCGCGCCAACAAATGTCAATTCCACGGCAAGCTGTTAGAAGCCTCGCTCTCTCTCTCTCTCTCTCCCGCCGCGCCAACACTCCTTCGACACCGCACGTCTGCTGTTCCCCGCCGCCTCCACGCTCTCCATTCGGTCGGTGATCTGCATCCCACCCACCCGCATCTGGCTGCTCTGATGTGCGCAGCAGGCCAGCCTTCCCCCACCGCAGAGGATAGCCGCCGGACCCGACCAAAAAGAGCACATCTTCTGTTTCCCTTTTTCCTTTTTTTTCCCGGGCAAAAAACAGCGTTTTCCTTGCGTACCGCCTAACCGAAGCAAAATAACTGACACACATTTTCTAAATATTTACGTATCTTGCAAATTCTTCTTCTTAATTTCAGGCGCGGGCGGGCTCATGACGCGCTTCCCTCCCCCACCATTTTCGAGCCCTCCCTCCTCCTCCATCCCGCCACTTTCGATCCCGCCCTGCATTGCATCTGACATCCCGCGTGGCAGAGGTGATATCTCAGCCGTCACCTGCCACGCGACCTTGGCGGGGCGGTAAGGTCCCACTTGCACGAATTAAGAGATGCTGACCGTAGATTGCAAAGATCAACGGCTGAAATCTCCTAATTTTCGCAAGTGGGACCTTGCCCCCGGGGCGGGGCGGCAAGTCGAAGCTCGCCGTCCAACTGCCCGCCGTCCCGCGCGACGACTCGACGGCGAGGCCGACGCATGGCGGGAAAATTGACGGGGCGGCGGGACAACACGACCCCGCCCTTGCACTACGCCTCCACTTTTCAAACGGCCAACCCAACCTACGCATTTCTGCCAGATCTTCCGCCGATGAATATCGTCTCCTCCTCCTCCTCCCCTCTCCTGTCGCTGACCCTAGGTAGCATTATTCTTACGCTGACGCTGTCAACACTATTGGTCGCCGTTCGTCGAGCTGACTACGCTCGCTCGATCGACGTGAGTTCTCAGACTCCTGCAGATGTACAATCTCATGCGGTAGTTTGGAACTTTGTACCTGCAGCGACCGAGGAAGACAGGAACGAGGCTCCCTCCCTCCTCTCTTTTCCCCTCTTCTCCCCTCTTCTCCCCTCCCTCCCCTTCGCCTTCGCCGACGCCGCTTTTGCTTCTACACGTGTGGGTTGCAAGTTCCAGCACTTACTGTTAACCCTTCATTATCTTCTCTTCTGCATTGATCTGGCCACCGCGTGTTCTGATCGGATTGTTGCCGCCCAATGTAACGCGAGGGTTGGGTGGGGGCACAGCTTTTGAAAAGATCGTTTGCAGCAGAGTCTGCCTGCTGCTTCTGCAATGGAGCGTCACTGGGGTCTCAGAGAAGGTACGGTTCTCTCTCTCTCTCTCTCAATCAATCAATCAACCGCAATCAGCAGCTGCGCTAGGTGGTCATTGAGATTGATCGGGTCTTGGATTTGATTAACGGGAGGGTGGGAACGGCGGATTGAACTGAAGCGTGAAACAGAAGAATGTCGAACTTATCACAGTATTACTGTACTTAGTTATTTTCATGTTCTGTGGCTTGTCCTTTTTCCTCGTCTCTATGCTGTCAATCTACTTCGGAGATCGGTAACTGTGTGCTTAGTCGTTGAAAGGCCGAGTGGCTGACTGACTGACAGTAAACGAGCGAGTGTGGCGCAATCCCAATCCCATCTCCTTATGTTGTGGCGATGCATGTTCGTTTTCCTGCCTGGAACTGCAGGGTCAGGAATGGCACTAGTGCACGTGGCCTGTTCTGGCACAAGCGCGAGGGCAGATAGCCCGTTGTCTGGGACGGATGGAGAGGAGCAGCTGGGGACTTCGGATGCTCCATCGACGTACAATCGCAAGGACAAATCTTTGGGTCTTCTGTGTGAAAAGTATGTGGATCGTTTCTTGAATCCTTGTTTTTTCTTTTTTTTCTTTTGTTTTTCCTTCTTAACAAGAGCGACGGCGTTGAGGTATGCATCTATCTGATCATACTTGACAAAGTCAAATAATATTGCACAAAAACGCCATGCAAAGAGAGAGAACACGGTATTGCTTGTATTCAATCAACTGTAAGTAACAGTATAATAATGTATAATTGCCGTAACAAATTCTCTTGGAGATACCAAATCTTGGTCCTCTTCTGGTTCAGCAGCGGGATTGAAAGGATCTCGTCATTCAACCAATTAATTATGCCACTCAAGCTGCTGCTGAGGGCACGAGGTAATTCAGAACCATTCGATTTCCTTCATCTAGTTCATCTGAATCCGAACTAAGGACTGTATTTCTTTCTACAGTTCGTAATGGAGGTATCAGCTGAGCTAGGCACGCTGGTACAATCCTTGTGTTTTTGATGTCATGCTTTTGCGACTTTAGACATGACTATTGTGTCACTGATTGTGCTTCCTCTGTGCGGGAAAGAAAAAGCAGCAAATTTCCCAAACGTTGTCGGTGTGAACTATGAGGATATTTTCAAGAAATGATTATAATTTCAAGAAATGCCTTCTCATTTCAAGAAATGCCTTCTCATTTCTCAATATGGTGTGAGTCGTAGGATGCACTTAAACTCATATGTTGCTTTCCTTCTTGCGATTTGATTGTGTTGTCGCCAGAGGTTTGCGAACGGTTGTAAGTGGGCAACGTATGCGTCGTGAATCTCCTTTTTCTTACGTTGTTTTGAGATAAAACTATATATATATTTTTTTCCTTTGGTTTTCTAACGGTAACGCGCAAATAAAAAGGAAATCTTGGATTGTTTTATCAACCAGTACACTGGTATGTCTTTTCAAGTCGATTCTCTCTTTTTTAGAAAATAAAAGAAAAGGAAAAAAAAGGAAAAGAAAAGAAAAGAAAGGAAAAGAAAAGAAAAGAAGAGAAAGAGTCCTTGGATTGTTTTATCAGAACCAGTATACTCGTGTCTTTTCAGTCGATTCTCTCTTTTCAAAAAAGAAAAGAAGAGACAAGAAGAGAAAAGAAAAGAAAAGAAAAGAAAAGAAGAGAAAAGAAAAAAAAGAAGAGAAGAAAAGAAGAGAAAAGAAAAGAAGAGAAAAGAAAAGAAAAGAAGAGAAAAGAAAAGGAAAAACAGTCGATTCTTTTCATGACTACGAGGCTCGTGTTTTTTTTTTCTTGTTTCTTTTTTACCTGGTTGATTTCATCGATTTTGTTTTCGATTTTATTGAGTTTATTTCATTCCCTTTTTGGTGCATGTTTTTTTTCGGCGGTTTCGCTACAGTGTCTGCTCGTCTTCCCTTCTCTACCTTTTCCTCTGGCGGTTACTCTTGTGCGGTAGAACTTCTGCTCGCTGCAATTGAACTCCTGCTGCTGCTTGGTCGAGAAACCGCATTCCCCTTGCATCTCGCGCTCCTGGCTCCGATTATCTCAGGACTCCAATTTTTTTTTTTTTCAGTGTTCCCATCTTCACCGGGGTCCAAGTCCCACTAGCAGCGTCGAGCTACCTCAACGCCTGAATCTGGACGTGTTTGTGGAGACGTGCTGTTCAGGAAACTCGACACCATTTCTGCACATCTCCGGAAAAGCGTCCAGATTCAGTCGTTGAGGTAGCTCAACGATGCGAGTGGGACTTGGCCCCAGAATAGAACGCCCGGTCATTATTGCTGTTTTTTTTTTGGTGCAACTTTCAGTCTATGAGCAGTTTGAGGATAACGACTTGGCGTTCCATTTGGCTGCAGATGGTAGTTTCTTTCTGATCTCCCTCTTTGGCACTTTCTTGCCTTGCCTCCTCCACTTCTCTCTGCACTCTACCTATATCACACGCCACGTAATCTTTATTTCTACAGGCTTCAATATATAGCAGCTCGCTAACTCCGCCTAACTCAGTTGGTACACCAATGAACAGTTGAAATACAGACCTGACTTCGAATTCCAATGGGATCAGATGAGTGAAGATAACTCTCAATTTACGTGGGACTGGTCAGTTCAAGGATGATATCTCAAGGCCGTCGCCCTTTTCAAAGAAAGGGACAAATATATGTATAGCAGGCGCATGCCTTCTCTTATGGCAGATTTTAATTTTCATATTCCTTCTTTTTCTGTTTCTGTTTCTTTTTCTTCTCCTTCTTTTTCTGTTTCTGTTTCTTTTT